TGTACACATTTGTGCAAATTTAAGAAGGCTACATTACAAAAGCTTAAAGTAGCCTTTAGTGATGCCCTAAGAATACTTCTGAAAAAGCCCAAGGCCAGTAGTGCCTGTCTCCACCTTATCTGCATTTGTCTATTGTTGCATTTGTATTTGGGTTTAATCTGAGAGTTTGTTTCAAAACTTGTAAATCACACCATTCTTACCACATGCATCTGACCTAACACCTCTCCTGATGTGTGCTCATGCCTATGTGACCTGTACCACCCGTCTAAGGTCTGAGGGCACAGGTTTGAAGAGGAGGAGCCACTGTGATGACTCCTTCAGTGGTGCTGGGTCTACAGTGTGGTCAGTTCCTCCAGGAGGACAATGGGCACATGTTTTCAGTAGATCTCATGACTCACAGTCAAGACATGGAATCATTTTTCCTGGAGCTGTGTGTAAAGTGTGTGCAGCCCACAGGAGCGCTCAGGAGGTGAGGATACTCTTGATAGTCACTCACATGCTCTTGAAGGACACACTAGGAAGGTACAGCAAGTGTTCCCTCTGTTTGTCTGAGAGGATGGTTCATAGTAACACTTTTTAGTAGCAGAATGATTGAAGAATTCTCATGTGTGCTTGTGCTGTTGGATTATACCTTTTGAATTAAGTTTAAAAACAAGTCAGAAATAGAAGCCACTGTAGCACTGGGGCGTCACACAGACAATCGCGTCAGCTTCTCTGCACTGTCTCCACCCCCTGGACCTCCAAGGCCTAAGCCAGTGAGGATACAGATGACACCTTGTTTGGTTTAAAAGTTACAAATCACTGACATGAAGAAAGTAGCTAATAGTACTCTGTGGCACAGTGGTTTGAGTGTCACTCCCTGAACTCGCAGGCACGACAGGGCTTTTCTCTGAACACTTTACATGTTCTTACCGTGTCTAGTTTGCCTCCGGGTGCTTCATTTTCCTCCCTGAAGTTAGATGAATTTCAGTGGTACTATTGTGGTTCGATGCCCCTCCTTTCCCACTGATTGCATGTGTGTACAAGAACTAGACCATGACTAAATATTGACTGAAAGCATGAAGAATCTCAAGAGAATAATATTAATCTAGGTCAGCACTGCTTGGCCCAGCAGTGTCAACCTCAACCAGGACTAAATCAATGTGAGAAGTCTGAACCCACCAGGATAACACATACATGACACGTACTGGTCAGGCCAAAAGAACATGTGTGTGAAAGGCTCTGGTCACCAGAGCAGACATTCTGCACAGTCCATGTGATAAATAGGCCAGGGTCCTGTCAGGGCTACTGTACAGAATGTGGAGCATGTCCCAGAGGACTGCTGCTACACTGCACTAAGCCCACCACCTCCTCACTGCCCGCTCCACACTGCCCACTCCACACTGCCACCTGCCCGCTCCCCACTGCCACCTCCACACTGCCACCTCCCCACTGCCACCTCCCCACTGCCACCTCCACACTGCCACCTCCCCACTGCCACCTCCTCACTGCCCGCTCCTCACCCTTCATTTACACAGCTTCTTTTGCCCCTGCAGTCCCGCTCGTGTTTGGTTTGGGCTGCTGGGGCTGCTCTTAAACACTACATAAACTTGATCCTTTAAAATCCTGCATGTGGCTGTAATTCACTTGATATTAGACGTTTTGATCCCTGCTACATTATAAAGTAATTTCCATACTGTCCTTGGGCAATACACTTGCTCTGCTGTGCTTCCACTGTTTACATGCACTTGTGATGGGATGAATGGTTCTTGATGTAATGTGTTCTTTTAAAGAGGGACTGTTTAACTTTTCTCATGAGGTTTCCACCAGCCACTTGTCATGTTTTTGCCATAACTTGTATGACATTAAACTTTCCTGTCTTGCATATGCTGAGTTACATTTTTGAGCAGGTTTTATTGCTCAAAAATACCTTGAAAAATATTACAGTGAGCAGGGTTCACAGATTGGAGGTCTCATATTTGTTTTCACATTATATTTGTGATTCAAAAAAAAAATATATATATATATCATTATTCATTTACTCCACACTCCCTGGTGGTAGTCACAGCTGCTCCGGGGCAGACTGACTGAAGCGAGACTACCAATCTATACCATTGGCCCCTCTAACTACCACCAATCACTACCACTATTCCTATTCTAACTAAATAAGGGGGTGATGTTCTTGCCTAAGGACACAGTGACAAAAGTTTGTCTGAGCAGAAGGCGATCCTCTGACCTTTGGATTGGTAGATGAGTGCTTTAACCACTGAGCCGCTTGGTCTGGTGGTAACACCTGCATGTCTACCTGGAGATGGATAAGTATAATGCCACAGTGTGGAATATTCTAGCATTCTCTCTGCCAGAAAGGTTGGTGCATCTTTACCACCACACAATGAGTCAATTGAAACTAATAGATAACACAATGCTTGCCTGTAATATTGAGCATTAAACATGACAGTCCGTTCCACTGGCTAATAGAGTTTACTGGTGAATGTGAAGTGTGTCTCCTCTGTGTTTGTGGTGTAGCTTGTCCTGTGTCCCCAGACATTTTACCCCAGTGGGGGATCATTAAGGATCATCTTATCGTACTAAAAATATCTCTGTATACTAACTGTCATGATGTTCTTGTGTTTGGAAGTGAGTTTTGTGACATACTGTTGTACACACAGCCCTGTGTCCTTCTGCCCCTCGCCCCTGTATAGTACTCCAGTAGAGTACTCTAGTTGTGTCTTAGTTCAAATCTAAGACTTCCGGTGTGACGCGGTAATTACACACGTGGGCACGTTCTATAAGCAGCAGCCTCTGCCATTTTTAACCCATGGCCTGGTCTCAAAGAGGATTTAACTAGTGTCATTTAAGACATGGTGTGTCCTCCAGGCTCTGAGCTCCAGCACAATACAGAGGAGACTTTCTGGAGAAGTGCTAGAGATATCAGAGCTTATGAAAGCGCTGCATCCTCCTCACCTATTGTGTTCCTCTGAGAGCATGTTAGTGGAGAACAAGGGCACGCTGACTTTGGCTGTGATTACAGCACACTAAGCCACACACCAAGCCTCTTACCCTCTGCAGCTGGAGCAGGAGCAGGGAGGTCCCCCAGCACCACAGCTCAGAGAACACTGGGCTCTGATGGATGGCACCTGCCATCAGAGCACCTGCCCATACAGAGCACCTGCCCATACAGAGCACCTGCCCATACCAAGGAGTGCTGCCTATACAGAGATGCACCAGAGATGTTCATCTTAGAGGCCATAGGCTGCAGCCACTGATTAAGAGAATGTGGTGACAGCTCCATTAGACCTTCGAGCTTCACTCACACTCTTTAATAGTCTGGAAGAGTGGATTGTCCCACGGACACAATGACATGATTTAACTGGTTAAAGACAAGTTAAAACAGACAACCTTCTGGTTATAGGGCGACTGCACTCTCACTTACTCACTGTCTTTTACTGCAGTGTTCTGTTTTCTCCATACACTTCACTCTTCTGTGGAGGTGACACCAGAGTTAGTTACCAACTTAGCAAGAATAATGACAGCTTGATAAAAGAAATGTCCTTTGGGTACAAAAAGACAGACCTCATGGTCTCATGTTTCTGGTCACAATGCTTAGTGTTTACAATGGCTTGATCCCCATGACCACAAGATGGACTCATGTTACGTGCTCTTCAGTTCTTGTTCTGTCTTGTAGAAGTGGACAGAGGAGAGTATAGTCTGACACATTGTGTTGGCATTGGAAGTTGTCTTGCGTGTCAGTTGTGTTAACCTCTGCTCTGTGTCTGTCTGTGTGTGACTCTAAACATGTACTGGCTTATAGGAGGGCCCCTCACAGCGCCTCACAGGGGGCTGTTAGAATGTTCTTTGAAGGCTCCTCCTCTGCTGGGACTGTGCTCTCTCTTCTTCTGTTCTGATTAGAGTTATGACATATTGAAATGTACTGTTGTATGCAGGCTAAATGTTTCTGTAACATCTGTCTGAAATATCTGGATCCTCATTTAGGCCTATGTGGAAAATTCTAATGGAGAATTCAGACCTGAATACTTGCAGCATCTGCCCTCCTAAATCCTGCACACCTTGACAAGCAATGTTGCATTTTATGCAACAAACCAGAGTCGTGTGACCAGAGGTACAGCATGTCTGTATACATGCTGATTATGAGTTGGTTAAATGAGTGTTTTGTCTCATAACAGCTAGTGGGAACCCAGTTTAAACATGTATACTTCACAACAGACAGTGGAACCACACCATTTTTATGTCTTTTATGTCTCTGGCTAGTTTTTAACTTCAGCCCAATGGATGAATGCTTTACAGCACAACACAATGTTTCTGACAGGTTGCCCCTCTAGTGGTAAAAATTGTGTATCTCCTGATGATAAATAATTAATCCAATTTTCAAAGCTCGATTTTTGGAATACAGACAAAGGTTTATTATTCTTTATTATCATTCCTCTCCAGATCACTTCCCTCCAGAACTTCAGAGCTCTGAGTATGTATACAGAAATACAAAGCATATATGTTTATCAAAGCAAACTGACTGTTGTTTCACAGACTTAAATTGTGCTAATCAACTTAACTTACATTTGAGGACAGATGAGACAACAAAAGACTTCCTGAAGCTTGGAGACAGTGTCTGCTGAGCCTTTACACATGTTAATGACTGGTCTGAGTCTCAAGAAGAAATCACATTAATTTACACAAAGACAGAGTGACAGAAATCTTTTCTTGACAGTATACATTTTCATCACACCCCCATTAAAGGATGGGTCATATTTCCCTGCAGGACAAGAAAGTGTACATTAACCTTAATAACAGAGCTACCACTGCCCCTAACTTCAAGAAATTACACTTCTAAAACACCTCATGTTTTGAAATTTGACACTAACTCTGTAAAAGGCCTTTGTTTAGTACTATGAGCTGCTCCACAGCATCTCTAAAGATAAGGCCTGTACTGTACCTTACCTATTTTGTATTGCGCTGGAATATTCAGCTAATGCAGCGGTTTTGAACTTCCTCTCTTGTGTTCACAGGTGATGGCGTCCCAAAAGAAAATAGTCCCTTCATCAACAACACAGACAACGACAAAGCCAACAGCAACAGCTATGATGGCACGAACATGGCACTTTTTGAGGTAAGCACTGAGCTCTGATCTGCACTCATCTGTTCTCTAATGCTGAGTGAAAACAGAATGGAGCCTTGTCTTAGAACACTGACATGATGGTGCTGCCAGTGTAAAGAAGGAGGAGTGTCATTTACAGAATTTGTATCAGTCTTGCAAGTTATTATCTTGATGCCTGATGAGAACTGATTTTAAACTGATGCTACACAAAAACTAAAAATGCCACAAACTTCAAATTTAAGACAAACTTGAAGTTTCTATGACACATATAAAAATGGAGCCAGTTATGAGCTGGCTTCAGTTTACTGGAAGATCTCTCAATTTTAGAAGCTATGCAAACCAGCATTTGAGGGTTAAATGTGTTTTTTCAATTAGAGCAGGGATATATCAGTTTATGATGATTTTATGACTGTTTTATGTCCTTGCGCTCCTAAGTGTGACTTTTTAAAGGGAAGCCTGAGGCTTAAAAAATCTAAGAAATTGATGGCATAAGATGTGTTTTTTTCTTGTCTGTGTGGCCATAGTAAGCGACCAAAGATTGTGAGCTTGTGCATCAAATGTTGGCACAAATTTAGATGACGCAAATTGAGGTATCATAAGGACCCTGTATTTACAAAGCTGACATGTCTGTGCTGATGTAAAGGTGAAGCAGTCTGGGTTTAGACATGTCTGTGCTGATGTAAAGGTGAAGCAGTCTGGGTTTAGACATGTCTGTGCTGATGTAAAGGTGAGGCAGTCTGGGTTTAGACATGTCTGTGCTGATGTAAAGGTGAAGCAGTCTGGGTTTAGACATGTCTGTGCTGATGTAAAGGTGAAGCAGTCTGGGTTTAGACATGTCTGTGCTGATGTAAAGGTGAGGCAGTCTGGGTTTAGACATGTCTGTGCTGATGTAAAGGTGAAGCAGTCTGGGTTTAGACATGTCTGTGCTGATGTAAAGGTGAAGCAGTCTGGGTTTAGACATGTCTGTGCTGATGTAAAGGTGAGGCAGTCTGGGTTTAGACATGTCTGTGCTGATGTAAAGGTGAGGCAGTCTGGGTTTAGACATGTCTGTGCTGATGTAAAGGTGAAGCAGTCTGGGTTTAGACATGTCTGTGCTGATGTAAAGGTGAAGCAGTCTGGGTTTAGACATGTCTGTGCTGATGTAAAGGTGAGGCAGTCTGGGTTTAGACATGTCTGTGCTGATGTAAAGGTGAAGCAGTCTGGGTTTAGACATGTCTGTGGCTCAGATGGAGCCTGGGGCAGTCTGTTATTTGGCTGACCTTGGGTTGCTGCAGTCTGGCTGTTTATAGACAGAGCCATCCTGCTTCTTTTTATACTTCTCTGCATGGTGCTTATCCACACATACTGTTCTAGCAAACATTTGTTTTTCTACCAATCAGGTCTATCTAAACAATGACTCACATAATGACTGACGCTAAGTGGAAGGAAGAAAACTAGACTGACACTGTGCCCTTGTGTCTCCTCACAGGAGGAAATGGACAGTCATCCCATGGTGTCGTCTCTCCTCAACAAACTGGCCAACTACACTAACCTCACCCAGGGCGCCCATGAGCACGAGGAGGCTGACGAGGACGAGGGCGCCAAGAAGAAAGCTGTCAAGGTACCTCCACCATGTGCTGCTGATTTCACACACACCACTAAGAGTGTGGAGTTAGGAGTGTAAAAAGAAGTGACCAAGATCCAAATATGATCTATTTCAAGTAGAATAAACATGAACATTCATTGTCTCCAGATACTGAGGTAAACATGTTCAGATCAAATGGAGATGTTACTGATGACAGTGGGATGTTGATATATTCTTAATTTGAGAACACTGGACACGATGGCCAACCAAAACACCAAATTATAACAAACAGACAACAGAATGAGCTTTATATGAATCTTTTATTTGGGTTGCCTGTTTTTGTAACTAAAAGTACTCTGGTCTGTTTACCTACACTGCAGAACCTGTACCAATCCTGAGTCAGTTCTAGTGCAGCCTCTGCAGCTCAGTGAGGGAATTCTGGAGGTCAGAGTTTTCACATGAGGCATGACCTGTCTGAAAATAAACAAAGTGTCCATAATATTATACTGGCAACCTAGGTTCAGTTGTTCAGTTCTTTTATTAAAGTGGTAAGAGCACAAGCTACATATGTCACCATGGTGCTCTATACATCTATCACCATTCATATTTCTGTACATTTCAATTTAAGTTGTGAAAAGGCTCCAATTATGTTGTTTTATTTTTTCGAGAAAGGTACATTTCTTTATGTGATGCAGTTCACATCCACAGGTTTAATGAGTATAACAAATCACATCATGCAGCATGCATTTTCAAAAGCATTTCTACAATATCCTCCCCACAAAAGTCACTGATCTAAATGCCGAGCCCTAATACTGACTCACTGTGGTTACATGCACACTCTAAATCAGATTACGGTATTCTCAGACGTGTGGAGTTATAAGACTATTAAAATCAGATGTAAACAGCTAAATCTGGTTTCTTTCTGATCAGAGTCTTTCTGATCACCCACATCGGCTTCTGTGGTTTTGATGTCATTTAAGTCTATTCTATCATCAGATTTATTTAGCAAAATCAACTTTTCACCATTTACTCACACAAACTTATATTTGGAGTGATTCATGCATGTTTGATTAATCTCTTATTTTAAAGATGTCTTTTTGCAAATAGGTGCACTTTTATTTTTGTCATTTTTGTAATCGGTGTGCCTCAGACAATTTATTGAAGCCCCATGTGAAATACATTGTGCCATGACAGTAAGAGACTGGTCTTGTATTTTAATGTCACTTGCTTGTTCTTGAGAAGCACCTGATTTCACACTTAAAGGAGTAACTGATGCACTAAGCCTACTTGTCTTAGAAGTTTAACCTTGACTGAAAATGTGATAATGTATGACCTGGAGCTGTGGTGTAACTCCTGTCCTCCTCCTCTCCTCCTCCTCTCCTCCTCCTCTCCTCCTCCTGCAGAGCCCTCAGATGGGGACCTTCATGGGTGTGTACCTCCCGTGCCTCCAGAACATCCTGGGGGTCATCCTGTTCCTTCGCCTTACCTGGATCGTGGGCACTGCGGGCATCCTGGAGTCTCTGGTTATCGTGGGCTTGTGCTGCAGCTGTGTGAGTACACTCTGGGGCCTTACAGGGCTAGACGTGGTCGTTTAGAGTGAGATAGCTGAAGATTTATATAAATACATAGTTTCCTCGTACTTTTTTCTTCTGGTTGATTTTGCATGAACTCCGGTGCAGGTGTAGTCTTGTGAGTGCATTTTGGATCAGATATGTAAAACAGGGACGGCTACTATATCGGATCCACTATCAGCCAATATAGATAGGATTTTTTTTACCGTCGCTGCAATCTGTTTGTCTATTTTACTTCATGAGTTAAAATGGAAATAGAAGAGTTATATGGCTGTATGTTTAGAATTATTTCATATCCCACATAAATACATATTTTTATTATTTTTACTATTTTAAAGTTGTGATCTACTTTAATTTAAGATAAGTTTGTGGGCCTCACTATAGATTTTAAAGCTAAATATGGGTATTGGCAAACATTGTTATTGGTTACTGGCCACAACAGCAGGCCAATTATCAGATATTGGTATCCGCTCAAAAAATCCATATTGATCCATACTTAATGTAAAGATATATAATCGTTTTGAGAGCTGTTGCCACGCCCTCTTTTTAGTTGTCCAGTTGACCAGCAGCACGTCTTTAGACCTCCAAGAATGTCTTCAGTGGACTACAGCCTCCACTGCTCGGTAGAAGAGCAAAAGTGAGCAGACTTGACATTGATTTTTGGTGTCCTCTGACAGGGGATTTAGAGCTCAAGTCATTAGAGCAGTGACGTGTGCTACGTTATGTAAGAGTTAGTGGAGTAGACCATCACCTCTCAGCGTAATTACTCTCACATCTTCATCTCTCGCTCTCTTCTGTTTTGGGAGTCTGTTGTATAATTTACCACTTAAAGGGCCAATATTACGCTAATGTTTAATCTATGTTTATAATGCTGTTTCTTCATCACAAACAGACCTGGAGTTGTGTTTTAATTCATTCACACATGTTTAACACACAATCCCAGCAGATTTAAGCTTCTTTTCACTCTGTTCCACCTTGTGATGTCATGTGGTAATACAGGAAGTGCTCTGCTGTGTTTTAAACTCTATTACACTAGATAAAAGGTAGCTGTTAACTTGAAAACTACCACTTTTAATACATAATTTAATAATTAATAATTAAGACATAATTTGTAGACGTAGACAGACTAATAATAAAGGATTACTCAAAGTGTGTGAATGAAACAAAACACAACTCCAAGTCTGTTTTTGAGGAGTTAACATTGTGACATGGCTTAAAGCTCTCAAGAGTCAGTTTTGAGTAATAGGCCCTTTAAAGCACCACTGTTTACCTCTCATCATGACTTCTGTACTTCAGTGTAACTGTTTGCACTGATTGCACATTTTACATTTCAGGGAAATTTCAGGGACGATAGGTGGACTGCTTTTTGGAGGGCTTTTACTCATATTTATCTTGTATTTAAGACTCAAATTTTGTTTTCTGCAATCTTAGAATGAACCTAATAATGATATATATTACACAAAATTGACTTTTAGCAGTGTTTTAATCATCATCAAGTTACACCAACTTATATTTTGAGTGATTTGTGCTTGTTTCTTTATAGTCCTCTGTTGGAGCCACTATTGCTCTGAAAATTCTCATTTACACCTGTCCCACAAAGACACCTCAGTTGTGTTGTGTCACTTGGGCATTTTGGCACAAGTTTTAAAAATGCCCTTCTCACTGCTTGGTCAGCCTGATCCGGGACCATGAAGCTCTGTTGTGATGACGTTTGAAGAGGCAGGAGTTAGTCCTGCAGTTTTAAAATGTTTATATTTAGGTCTTTGCAGTGACATCATGCTGGGGGTGTTTTTCACTGTATTTCTATGGCAAAATGTTCATCAGTTACCACAGTGACACATTGCACACATTAGCAAATTTGTAGATAGTGTCTAAAGTGGATTTAAGGAGCATATTTTCAGCAGCCTGTGATCAATACGAGTGTCCATGGTTCTGTTTGGAAGTTTGATTTTCAAAGAAAATGTGAGAGTGACTTAGGGTGCACTCACACTAGAACCATGCCCAAGCACAGATCGCCATTAAAGAGTGGTGAGTGCAGTCGAACTGTGCCCAGGGACTTCTGCCCGTTGGAGGAGGTGGGCCAAAGCAGGACACTTTTGCTCATGTACGCGATCCCTCTCAGGTCACTCATACGAGAAAAACAGTGAATAAAGTGTAACATAGAACCCTACGCAGTCGTGCTTGAGCACGGCTCTAAAGTTCTAGTGTGAGTGCGCCGTAAGTGACTGTTTGTTGGCTGATGTGTGAGAGACTTGTTTAACAGCACAAATCAGCTGTTAAACCTGTTGCACTTCCATCTATATCAGCTCTTTGTGGACAGACTGTGTTAAATAAAGCTCAGACTAAAGCCTAACTTTAGTAACAGAGCTTCAGACAGAGCAGTTCCTACAGTTAGTATCACATCTCGAGGGAATGTTGATGACATCAGCTGCAAAGTATCAGTGGATCAATATTGCGATTGTGAACAAAATGTAAAATCATAAAGTATGTGTGTAGAAATGAGCTTCATGTGGTGTTATTTATCTCTCTTTAATGATGCATTCCTGGAAAGACCGGACCATTTCACACACTACAATCTGTGTAAAGTGCTCTGGAGGCTTTCCCCCTGCACACTCATTACATAATGTAAGGGCCAGCTTAGGCAAACAGATTAATGTTCATTCTCACTGCTTAGACCCATCGCAGTCTGCACCAGTGCCCCCACATCAGGCTCTGTCCGGGGTCCACTGTGTGCACACGCACTGCTAAAAATAACCTCCAGAGAACAGAGCAGTCAGGCTCAGAGCAGGTCACGTTTGAATTAGGGCTCAAGGACAGCGGGAAAACAACCTGTAAGTATACTCTGAAGTAGTACATAGAATGAACAACAAGTCCATATAGGAATTTTTGTCACAGGCCTAAATGAGACACTATTAAGTCACTCAGTACTTTGAATAAAACTGAACTCTTCTATTCTGGGCCTAAACATGTGAAGTTCTGTAGGTCTAAACTTAACCCATACAGCTGCAGGGGGCACAGGGGGTCACAGGGGGTCACAGGAGCAGAGGCTGTTGCTCATCACTGGGAGCTGCAGAAGAACCGGTGTTCAGACTGGAAATAGATTTTTTATGCATCTTGTAATATTCTGAACATGCCCATGTCTGTGTACACATGACATGACTTCATGCATGAGGCCCATGTCTCACAGATGACTAGCAGTCAAATTTGATGGACACTGAAGCTCACAAATTACAATATTAGAACAACTCTGAATAACAAAGCACAGAAATCTAAATCTTAATTGAATAATCTTTAATTTGAACAATCAAATCAGCAAAAATAGCAACATATAAGGTTGAGATATACAGATACATGTACAATGAGCTCAAATAGAGGTGTGGTAAAGACTGATCATAGGGACAATCTGCTCAACAATATATTGGTCTGTCTCTAGTGTTAAGGAAATACAGCACATAGATCAAAATGGTAGCTACGGCAATAATTATTGCAACTGCATTTATTTTATTTTTCATTCATTTGCATTGTTTAAAGGGCCCATATTACATTTTCTGATCTTGTTTCCTCATCACACACAGACCTGGAGTTGTGTTTTGCTTCATTCACACATGTTTAACACACAAACGCAGTCCTTAGAATTATTTGGATAATTTCAGCCCTAGAATTGCTCATCTGGTACATCTCTACTGCACAAAGGGTAAAAAGTAGCTGTTAACTTCAAGGTGTAGGTGAAGTTTATATGTTATACAACAAATTGTATGTAATGAATTTGAGGAGACCCCAGGAAGAATAGTTAATGATATTTCAGTAGCTATACTAATTAAGTTTATCTTAATAAACTAAACTAAACCGGAGTATTTGGAGCTTGGAGATGTTCACCAATAATGCAGGACTACTAAATTAAGACACAACTCCAGGTTTGTTTGTGGAGGAGAACATTTATTTTACAAACTGTTTATTTTATTACATGGCTTAAAAAATCAATGTTGCATAACAGAACCTTTAATAACATTATTTTGTTGTACCAAAAATTAGAAACAATTCCCTCAGTTGTCTTAAAGTGTATTTTAAAACTGTGTAGAATAGTATTTTCAGACAGGTCTACTTTACAGCAGTTTTCTGTGTCCACTTACACTTTTGACTTTGTATGTCTTTCCTGTGCCTTTGCTGTCACCTACAGCATTTGTTATGGAGCATATTCTTAGCCCTAACAATGGAGGGTTTATGGAGAAGCTGGTATCAATTACAAGGCTCAGAGACGTGAAACATTAGCCCTTTAAGTCTTCACAAACTGTGCTTCTAATAATACCCCCTCAATACATGTGATTTTATGGAGAGTTAAAGAGGAAAAATGTCATGGAGGAGAAAGATTGACCTAAAACACATCAGTTCTTTTTTTGTTTTGTTTTTGTAATATTTAGGATGCTACATTAGCAAGGACAGCATTCAACCCCTTGCCTTGTGGCAAAGTTCCAAATGGAAATCTTGCACGATCAGAGCACATCACATCGAGTGTTTAGTATACATGCACGAGAAGACCAAGGGATCATTATCTGTGAAAGTAACAGAAAGCAGGACCACATGAACTGGGCAAAAGAAAAGAAGAGCTTCACCATTATGTTATGTATGCTTTTAAGATGCATTTATCAAGGGTATCAACAGTTTTAATATTTTTCATCACATTGATGGGAGCTGAAGAAAAGGGGAAAAGAACTTCTCCATCCATGCCTTTAGCGGACCACAAGTAGAGTGTGTATAGACCATAGACTTTAACGCGCTAGTCACCATGTTGCAAGTAGAAAGTTCTCAAATGGCTCTTTTGGCTCCTACTGACTCTGGCTCCCATTAACTGATATTGGAATATTGTGGTCTCTCTCTCTCTAACTGCTGCTGTGAGCCTCGTCATTATGGTCATAAGATGGTGATATTAACCCGCTCTACATGATCCTGGTGTTCTTTTGTTTTTGTTTTGTTTTCGTTTTGTTTTTGTCTGTCTAACATAGGGCTTGACTCCTCATTTATACATTAGCATATCATGATCTGGGTAGTAACCAGTTTTCACGTTGTTCACCAGTCACCACACTGGGAAATAGAGAGTGCGGTGTAGGGTCTGCCCTCTGCTCTGCACACTCATAGTCACAGGAACACAGCAGAGATGAGGCTTCTGTAGGAAACGACATGGGGCGCTTAGAAGTTTTAGGGTTATGTCAATGACAATTGCAGTTGGCTTTTGGTACTGAACATTGTCTCATGTTCTGAAATAGAACACATAGTAATGGAAACATTTCTACTGTCAGACAGGTTTATATCAGAGTTGTGGTGCATCTGGCCCTGAGGAATGGCACAGACTGGATACAGTTCTGGGGAACAAATTCTTTTAACCCCTGCAATGTCATTACCATCAACATTTCTACCCCATGGGCAATGCTGAACAGTTACGGGAGAAATGCCTCTAACAGGTCTAGAACTACGTCCCATTTCTATTCCACGAGAGGCAGATGTACTCACTCTGTCAGTCTGTAGCTACAGTAGTAGTTTACCACCACTGAGTGTTGAGTGAATGAAAAATGAACTGTAAAGCGCTTTGGGGATCTTGAAAGGTGCTATACAAATGCGATGATTAATTAATGAATTAATTAACTCCTCTCTCTCTCCCTCTCTCCACAGACCATGCTGACAGCCATCTCAATGAGTGCAATCGCTACTAACGGTGTAGTACCAGGTAAGGCCTTGTATGTGCAGTAAACATGTGTACTTTGTGTGGTAGTAGTCATGACCTGTGTGTCCCTGTGTTGTCAGCTGGAGGCTCGTACTACATGATCTCCAGGTCTCTGGGGCCAGAGTTCGGTGGAGCTGTGGGATTGTGCTTTTACCTGGGCACCACGTTTGCAGGCTCCATGTACATCCTGGGAACCATAGAGATTCTACTGGTGAGGAGCACTTTACAAAGCAGGACTGATTTACCCCTAAAACTCAGTAGACACAACTTCAGAGTACTAGACACAACTGCCCTGATGCATATGGCTGGTCATGGGAGCCACACTCACCACTAACAATAACTCATTTATTGCCCCTTCTACATTCTGCTTCAATCCAGAAGGGTCTGGAACTGGACCATAGAGCGTGAAACACCACAGTGCACCCACAGCTCCTCATTTGTATCGAACATCTCTCAAATGCAGAAGCTATTTCCTCTTCAAGCTTCTCTTACCATTCAGAACAAAATATATAACTTCTTTATCTGCGATAAATACAAGTCTGGTGCTTCCATTGGTGATTCTGAGAGAATGCATGCAGTCCTTTATATAATTTGCTTCTCCTTTTTAAGTGTAAACTGCCATGTTTGTTTTTAATGCAAATGGGGCATGCATCTCTTTGATTGGTTAATCTGTCTGTCAGTCACACAGTCTGTGTATGTGGTTCTTTCTTGCCAGGTAAAGTAACTTGGTTTAGAGCAGGATAGAACTACCAACCTTTAGGGTTGGGAGGATGAGTTTTGAAGTTTTGAAATAAATGTTTTCTCTGTATCACCAGCCCTAGCTCAAATGCTCATATCAGGTACGTGAGCTTTAAGTTGAATTCATGGATCTGTTTTTTTGCAGACCTACATAGTGCCTAAAGCGGCCATCTTTGTGGCGACCAAGAAGGAGGACGAGGTGGCCGCTCTGCTGAATAACATGCGTGTGTATGGGACGTGCTGCCTGGCCCTCATGGCTGTGGTGGTGTTTGTGGGAGTCAAGTATGTGAACAAACTGGCCCTGGTCTTCTTAGCCTGTGTCATCCTGTCCATCCTTGCCATCTACGCCGGGGTCATCAAGAGCATCTTTGAGCCTCCAGACTTCCCGTGAGTCACATGAGGCCACAGTGGTCAGCACTTTGACCTCACAGTAACAGGGTCTCAGGTTTGATTTGCACACTGGGATGTATGTGTGGAGTTGGCATGTTTCTGAGAAGGTTTCCCCAAGTAGGATAGGCCATAGGTCAGGTCAGAACTATCTGATAAAAGACTTTCTTTGGATTTAAAATATAATATATATATTTATATTTTTATTTATTTATTTTTTTTAAACTTATGTTGTCGATTAGAATTGTTGTTACTTAATTAACTCTTGTGAGCTTTAACCCATGTTGTTACCTAATCAATAACAGAGCTGGAGTTGTGTTTTGTTTCATTCACAAATGTTGGAGTAACTCTTTATTATTAGTCTGTCTGCATCTCCAAAGCTCAAAATGTTCTGTTCCACCTTGTGATTTCGTGTAGCGGTAGGTTCTAGCTCTTTTTATCTTCAGTTCAGAGGAGATTGGAAATTCCAGGGCTGAAATTGTCCAAATGATTCAAACAGCAAAAAATACTTGGATAATACATGGAAAAAAACAAAGTTTATCTACCAAGGACAGATATCACGCAGCTTGAGCTTCCAGCACCAAGAGTAATACTAAAAATACCAAAAATGTATCTGTATGGTGTAACTTGCTACAAAATCTACAACTTCTGAATGTGTAACACTTCTAGGGCTGTAGTCAACTGAAGAAATTCTTGTTGGACTAAAAACATGTCCTGCCAAACTATGAATCGACGATAAAGGGGCTGATCTATGTTATTTTTCATCATGGAAAACATACTGGAGGTGTTGTATTTCGTTCACACGTGTACAAAGCCTGCACATTTACACTTGTTCTTCTCTCAAACAGAAAACACTCTGTTCCATCTAGTGATGTCATGCGGTAACACAGGAAGTGCTTCTCTGTGTTTTCAAACTTTATTCACCTTAACTAGAATCCGTTAGATAATTTCATACCTGGAATTGTCAATAACTACGAAACAAAAGGTAAAAGGAGCTGTTTTTGAGGAGGTAACAACATTTTAACATGGTTTAAAGCTCACGTGTGTAATATAGGACCTTTAAAATTGTGAATCTTTAGTTTGATTTGCTTTTTTACATAGAAATACCAAAAAATGCCAAAGCTTACTCACTTTGATTGACCTTTTATAGGAAACAAAGTATGCTTTCCATTTTGACATTGTGTACACATGTATATTAAGGCCTATAATTCTATTCACCTGCTGTCCTGTCTCTGTACTATCTAGAGTGTGCATGTTGGGGAATCGCACGTTGCATAACCAGAAGTTCGATAAGTGTCTTAAGACTGAAGTGATTGACAATGTGACGGTGAGCACGGCGCTGTGGGAAATGTTCTGTGAGAGCGCCCATCTCAACGCCACCTGTAACCCATACTTCGCCAGCAACAACGTGACCGAGATCCAGGGCATCCCAGGCCTCACCAGCGGAGTTATCTCAGGTGGGTCACTGGGCCTGTCACCAGAATTACTACATTAACTTCAGTTCAGTTCGTTCAGTCTATGAAAGCTGGAACAGTCATTTTGGGGGCTCAATATTTATCATGAAGACAATTTCTTTGCAATAGTGGGAGAGTTTAGCCATTTTTCTAAGATCAGATTTGAGCTTTAGAGGGTTGAATAAATAGGTTTTAAAAGCCGATATCAATTTATTTTATTTTTATTTTTTTTATTACATTATTTTTTCATCACAAATAGACTCGGAGTTGTTTTGTTTCATTCACACATGTTTAATTCACAATCCCTGCATCTTTAGAGTTCTTCTTTCAAACTCAAAACACTTGACTTTCAAACTGAAAACACTTCACCTTCTGATGTCATGTGGTTATACAGGAAGTGCTCCGCTCTCTTTTTAAACTCCACATGGAGTCACTTGGGTCATTTCTGCCCTGGAATTGCCCATCTCTACTGAACTAAAGTTTTTAACTTGCAAACATCTCATGAAAATCTTAAGGTGGAGCAGAGCTTTTTGAGATAAGGAGATGTAGACAGAATAATAAATAATAGATAATAGAATAAAGGGTTATGCAAACATTTGAATGAAACTAAACCTACTTAGTTATGTTTAGAATATATTCACTTTTGTCACTATCTCCCACACCTATGAACCTATAATCTAATAACCCTTTCCCAGTGTGTCTGTCACTCATTGGTACACAGCTCTGCTCAGCTTACATAGAGCTGTCTTTCAGGGCTGTGGAGGAGGGAGTTTGTTAAAATCATTTCCTAACTGTTTCCAAGCTGATACTAAAATGCAGAGGAGGTAGTGTACGTAAGAGGAACATTACTTCAAAATAATATTACTAAAATAGAAGTGCAAAGTATTGGCCCATACTTTTTTTTTTTTTTTATTTGGGAAGGCTACTCCTCAATTAAGAGTAACTGTCTGGATCTAACAACTTATTTATAATTTGCAAACAAACATGAAATATTAAAATCTGGTATTTTCAAAGGATAGACAGCAAAATTAGGGAAAACAAATGAAATCATATCTCGAGGAAGGATGCAAGTAACACAAATGTTCAAATCATTTCATATTGTCAGCACAGATTACTGTTAAATACTCAATTAGGAGTAAAATTATGCTGCTAGAACAGTTCTCTGAATGTTGCTTTAAAAAGTTGCTCAAGTAAATGGAACTGGGTACTACCCACCTTTGCAAAAATGTCCAGACTCCTGATTACCTACTGATTAGAGGACTGAGAAGACTGCCATTGCAGGCTTGTTTTGAGTGTTTGGCCAGCAAAGACTACACACTTTTCCTATTTTACTAATGTTTGTTGTGTGGGCTTAAAGAATCACGTGGTCTGCTCAGGTCAAAACAAACATGTGCTGGCTTACAAGGAAAAAGATCAAATCTGTAATTTTACATTTGAGAGTGGTGAGCTATGGCTGATCTGATCTGACCTGCTGCAGATCTGATCTGCTGTTGTTCCAGAGCCTCCTGTATCTGAGTATCTGATTATGGCAGTGTTTCAGTGGGTGGATTTGTTGATTAAAGCCTTTCTCAAACTTTCCCAAATCTATGTTTGGACAAAGTGATTGCAGTGTTTCTAAAGCTCACCTCAGATTCAAGCCTTGAGTAACCATGATGTGAGCTGGGTTTGTCACAGATTACACTCTGGATAGTGTGAGCATTGCATAATGATGGCTCAGCCTTGTTTCACTGGAATCTCCTGAGCTCACGCATTCTTTTCATAGTTTAAGTCAAAAGTGTGTGCAGAGTCTGATCAGTTTGAGTTTATTTCAGATAAGCTCCAGCGCTCTCGCATAGAGCGAGATCTCATTGTGGCGCCATTTTAATGAATATTTTAGTGAAAGTTAATGCAGCTTTTGTGTCATTCAGGAAGATTTTCTCTTCAAAAAAAGTTATTATATATTTTTATTAATATTAGTTTAAAGAAACTGTGTGTACTCTTACAGTTTTAAAACAGGAACTGCAGTTATAATTGAAAGTGTACTGCCAGAGCACATATGTTTTTCTCATTCTCAGTTAATGGACAGGCCTCATGTAAAAGCTCAGAACCTCCATAATTCCCCCCTGAGCTGCAGAGGCTGCACTAGCACTGACTCATTATGTTGCAGGTGCTGGGGTTTAGGGAGAGACCATTCAGATCAGAGAGAGGCATTTTAGGTTTTTACAGCTAAGCTAATGTTACATACAGTAACAAATCCAGTAGGAAAATGTCCAAATGAACTTTATCACATGTATTGTCACAGAGAAGCCTAATGTTTATGTAAAAGAGTGACCTGTATTGATGTGTGTTGTTGTCCTGTGTGCAGAGAACCTGTGGTCTGCATACGCCCCTCTGGGGACAATTGTAGAGGACCCTGAGGAAGTCTCTGTGCCTGCGCTTGAGTCTTCTAGGGACAAGTACATGCCATACGTGGTCAACGACATCACCACCTTCTTCACTCTGCTCGTGGGAATCTACTTCCCCTCCGTCACCGGTAATGCAACTGCAACACAACTCTTTTATTTAGTATATCTATGGTTCATATCATTCCATTGTAATTATTTAGAAAAATTGACTTTTGTGAGCTTTCTACCAAATTATAAGTTTCCCATTGTTATTTACTTTAAGTACCTGCTCTCTCTAAATCGGTGAAAAGCCCAATACATATAAAGTTTACTTTGTTACCACATCAAAACCATGCCTGAAGAGGCCCACATGGCCATTTTCATAAATATACAAGAGCATGATACACAACAAGACAATACAACTTCACAATCCTGATGCGATATGCAGTAGTTTTATTAGTGGATTATTTTGTTTTGTCACTGGATTTTTATAAAAAAAAGTAACATTTCTGAAACCAAAATCCTCCACATGTACAATCAAAGGCTGTGTCTGAATGTCCACACTCTTCCCTCCTTACAGCACTGTTTAGGGGTCACACCATTGTTAGTGGTGTTCAAATGTCCACTGAGTGAAAAAGTAATGCACTCAAAATTTCCCTCAATGCACGTTGAGAAGTAGCATCCAGCACCGGTCTCTCGACCGGTCAATATAGACCACAATGCATTGTGAGAGTGGGAAAAACAACAGTGGACAGAGACAAGTCTCTGGACACAGCATGACTGAATGAACACGGACAGAAGCACAGTTAGTCCTTTACCTTAGCTCAAGCTGTTAAAGAGCAATCATTTCCCCACCTCAGACAAAAAGTTGAATAATTAATTTCATTTACATGAGATCCAACTTGAAAAATAACTTGTATGGTTATCATTTGTTCATTAATATAGCCCACAAATGCCAATCGATCGTTATTTATGACAGAAATCAGAGTTTATACCAGGGTCACATGACCTGATTGTAGTAGTGTATGTCTGCCCTAGTCCCTAACCCCTCAGTCTCTACAAACGGACACAGCCAATATCATAACCGGTTAGTGCTGCATCCATGTGTGTGTGTGCTCTCTGTGTGCAGGTATCATGGCGGGGTCCAACCGCTCAGGGGATCTGAGGGATGCCCAGAGGTCCATCCCCATTGGCACCATTTTGGCCATTGCTACCACTTCCTTCATTTGTATCCTTCACAGACATCACTTAAACTATATTTAAGTTATCTTTGCTTGTGATTTGGATTTGAAGAGAGCAGGATCTAACTGTATACTGTTTGTGTTGGAGCCCTTGACAGTTGGACAGATGTGACATGTGTGGTGCTGTTTGGAGCTTGTATCGAGGGGGTTTTGCTGCGAGACAAGTAAGTCCTATTCTCTCTTAAAACTGGGTCACCTGACTTTAATCTTGTGAATAAATAAAATAAATCACCCATAGAGTACATGTTAAAAGCAATGTTACTTCAAAATAAAAATGACTCGCGTAGAAGTACAAAGAAATTGTTCAGGTGTGAGTAAACAAGTATTTGTACTACTACTAAAAGTACTAAGAGTAAATTAAAGAGTAACTGTTGGGATGTGATTTTGAATTTAATGTTAATATAATTGGAAGGACAAAACATGAAATAATGCACACAATTTTGTATTTTCACAGGATAGGGGCAAAAATGAGAAACTAAAACATATGTGCTGATGCTGATATCTGGAGAAACCCTCCCATATCAATATATAATTATGATTATAATATAATTAGGAAGCAATATATCATCCCTATCTGGAAATGTCTAATTTATCATCGGTGAAATGGTCAAGGGTTGGGATCTGCATACTCTTTTATCTTAATGGTTTTGGTTGGGTCTGTTTCCTGTATAAATAAGTGCAGTACAGGTTTTAAAAAAAAAATGTGTTCCTTCTTTCCTTATGTTACACTGAAATAAATGACTGCACAGCCACACAAAGGTGCACATTTACCCTACATATACATGGCAGCACGAGTGGACTTTTGGCTAGGCATTGTGTAGACCTTTTCTTGGTGCGTTCCATAGACTGACCCTCGTGTTCTGTGTGTCCCTCAGGTTTGGTGACTCGGTGAAGGGGAACCTGGTCATAGGCACCCTGTCGTGGCCCTCTCCCTGGGTCATCGTCATCGGATCGTTCTTCTCGTGCTGTGGGGCGGGACTCCAGAGTCTGACCGGAGCTCCCCGTCTGCTGCAGGCCATCGCTCGTGACGGAATAGTGCCTTTCTTACAGGTCACACTCACACACTGTTTGGTTTTACATTCAGAAAAAGAGAATGAGAATGACTAAAGCGGCTCCTCTTTAGGTGTTTGGTCATGGTAAAGCCAATGGGGAACCTACCTGGGCTCTGCTACTGACCGCGGGCATCTGTGAAATAGGCATTCTCATCGCCTCTCTGGACAGTGTGGCCCCCATCCTCTCCATGTAAGTTTAGGCTAAGTGTTGCTGTGAGTATGAACCTATTAAAATCCTGAAGGAATAATAATGAATGTGATGCTAGGTATATGACTTAGAATGTAGACATTACTGATCAGGTATTTAAAGCTGTTTTCTCATAAATGGGTTCTTTGTGGCTGTTTTTAAAGGCTAACTTTGTGGAAAACATTTGATCTATTGTGGTGTGCCGCAGGGTTTGTGAGCGTTAGAAACAGGTTAAGGTTAAACACCTACTTCCTACTTTCAAGACTGAAAATCAGGTACCACAAATTTGAACAAAGTTTGTTCACAAAGTCATTCAAGTGCATTACAGATTACGAAAGACATTAAAACTCAATACAAACTAATCAAAACATAAATAATCATAATAAAATTATCAAATTCACTTAAATAGAAGAGAGCAGGATAAAACCCTCACTCACATGAGTCTGGATTTAAAGAACACAAATGATCCATTATTTGCATTGTTATTGGCCTAATGTGCCCCAGGTTGAAAACCATTTGTAATGTAAATCAGCTAAAACACCAAGACACAAAATCAAACTCAAATGTTACAGGCTTGCACAAGCAGTAGTCATGCTGTAAATAGTGCTGGTGGACCTGTCACACTCTGGGGAATAACTTTATGGACTAAACACTGCAATAAATTTGATCTAGGATTAATGATTTGTCATGTTTTTATTAACATAACATGTTTTTATTAATACTGGCCATATGGAACACTGTTTGTCCTCCATATGGCACAATTTGTTAATGTTAGAAATATTACTTATTCATTTTGTTTAGTAAAAACTTAAAACCCCCTATTTTGATAATTTCTTTGCCCAGGGGAGGGCTAAGAAGGCATTTAAATTCATTCTGTCTATGAATCAGCATCACAAAATACTTAGAGATTGTTCAAACTACATTTAATAGCAAGTTTTGAGTAAACCCTTAATTGACATTCATGATGTCTATTTGTTCCATAGTCAGTTATAGTGTAGGAGAAAAGCCAGGAGAAGAACACTTAACCCACCTTGTCCATAGTGTCTGCGTACACTTGTGTGTGTGTGTCTGTGTCTGTGTGTGTGTGAGTGTGTGTATGTGTGTGTGTGTGTGTGTGAAAGGGTGACTGGTTCCTTGTTGTAAAGCGCTTTGAGTTCCTTGAAGGTGGAAAAGCACTATATAAAAATGTGACCATAAACACACAATCTGAGACAGGTTTCTTGAGTATATCCCTGGACTCAAGCAGATCCCTGGACTCGAGATCCTCCCAGGGCTCGAGTAGATCCCTGGACTGGAGACCCTCTCAGGACATAACGTGTTTTGTATATAACATGATGTCATATCACACCAAAATGTTGCACAAGCTATTTAATGTATAGAGAGCTCTACTGGCATGTGAGCTCCTCTAGAGCTGAGATCTGCTCGAGTCCAGGGATCTGCTCAAGTCCAGTGATTTGCTTGAGAAACCTGTCTCACATTTTCAGGAAGACTGTAACTACATATTTAAACCAGTCTAAATGTGTAGAAAACCATATTATGATTTTATGTTATTTAACCCTCTTTTTCTAGGTTTTTCCTCATGTGCTACCTGTTTGTCAATCTGGCCTGTGCTGTCCAAACTTTACTGAGAACACCCAACTGGAGACCACGCTTCAAGTACTACCACTGGTGAGTTCTTCTAGCAAGCGTATTATCATGCACCAAATCTGCTTATGTCATATGTATATATACATATATATTCCCTGCATTGAATAAATGACTCTAATCTGTGGAACACCTCTACCCAGATTAGTGGCGAGTTTGAGGACAGTGGATTTGGTTAAGTCCTAATCTTCTCTCCTCCGTCACCACACTGTATAGTTCTATGATGTGATGGATCTGATGTGTGATATGTGTGACGCAGGACCTTATCGTTCCTGGGCATGAGCTTGTGTCTGGCCATCATGTTCATCTCCTCCTGGTACTATGCCATCGTGGCTATGGCCATCGCAGGCTGCATCTACAAGTATATAGAATACAGAGGGTAAGCTCTTCTCAGAAAATGTCAAATGTTTTAAACAACCTTTTTGGACTTAAAACAGTGGATATTAGCAGATAGCTGTTTAGCCTCCTCGATGTCTTTGAACTGTAATATTTGAATTTTTTGAAAAGTCTATGGGAAAAATCAAGGTAATATTTACTTCTGGAACTAAAGGAAGTATATACTGTCAGACTGCAGCAGCATAGATAGCACCTAGTGGTGGTATGGGAAAGTACAACAATTTGACCAAAATGTTTCTGTCTGTGTACTGTCTGTTTTTGTGCCTGCCAAGAATCAGGAAGTGCCATGCTAGTTATTGTTAGGTTTACAGCGAAACACTGGTCTGGCCTCTGTAAATTGTGAAAAGCTCTTATAAACGTGCTGTGAATAATTAGCATACTCAAAAGATAAACAAGGAATAACTTTGGACATGTCCAAGAAGTTTAAAATGAACTACTGGTAGTTCTGTTTTTCACATTTTAAGACAGTAAAAATCAGGTACAGTGCCTTTAAACAGTTTGAATAAAGGCTAAAGATGGTGATAACATGTTTTTTTTAAGTTGTCTTGTTAAAAAGAATAACTTTTTACTAATACTTTGATATTGTAAGATTTGGAAGGTTTTTGTTCTTAAAGTCTTCGATAAATGACACTATTCCTTAATATTCCAGGGCTGAGAAGGAGTGGGGAGATGGGATTCGTGGACTGTCTTTGAACGCAGCACGCTACGCTCTCATTCGCCTGGAAGACGCTCCCCCACACACCAAGAACTGGAGGTATGTCTGTGTCTGTCTCTTCACTGTTAGTCAGATCCAATAGGGAGGAAGTGAGCAGGTTTCATTCTCCTGATTTAATCTGACAGGTGTTGAATAGAGTGCACTCAGCTAAAAGTGCTCTAAGCTGGAAAGGTCATTTTAGGGGCTTATTGTTGTCAAATCAAATCAAACTCTGAATGAGGAGCATGTATTATACAAAGATGGTAGTTGCAAGCAGATTGAAATTTTAACTCTGGTAATCTATCCGTGAATACCATAAACTGTGTAAAGAAGTGGACTAAGGCAGTGTGACATCACCCATGGCATTCAGCTCCAGTTTAATGAAGCTCATCGATGCCGACAGTTATAGGGGCAAATTTAGAGGTGAGATGTTTGTCTGTGAACCAAGATATGAACATTAATAAAGGACAAACCAGATGTCATCTTACCCCGAGGTTGCTCCCGCTAGTGTCAGCAACAGGTTTGACTGACAGTGTTGCTAAGTGCCCACTCCCTGTTAAACCAGTGGTGTTGTGGGAAAGGGTATTACCTTCAACAACTTCACTCTGGATTGACTCTTTGTTTACTCACGGTCCAGATTCCACAGGGTCCGGCCCCGTTCACACTATTCCATACTCGAGTGGTTTTGGTTGTGGATGCAGTGTTTGTCCACACTAATCTGACTGAAAACTGCTCCAGAGTCGGAACGATCTGATGCCACCAGCTCCCACGAATTCATTTGAGAACTGATCTGATCCGACATTGTGTGGGCGCCTGAAAACACTGATACGCTGATGTAGGTCTGTGCACCGTGATGTAATTCACTGCCAAAACACTAAGAGGCTAGAATGTATGTCCATTCTTATATACAGTCTGTGCATATGACCTGCAAACGTGTAATCTCTGAAAAGTTTAACATGAACCATCTCCAACACTATAGAAGCACAGAACAGACTCACCATCAGCAGAACACCCCTCTGTCACAGAAAGAACACTCATATGAGTGTCACTGAGTCATGACCTTTAGTCCGACAAAAGCTGAACTGCATCAGCGCACAATAATGAGCTGTTTTTTGACTCCTTAATATATTCAAATGAGAAATGCGGTTTTAAGTTTAATTTTTGTAAAACGTAAACAAATATGCTCAAAGCTGTGTGGCTAGGGAAGACTTGCGGACACAGAAACGACGTGTCTGGACGCAGATCGTTTCTGATACGGTGATTTGTTTCAGTATAAAACGTCTTAGACCAGTTCTTTATACAGTCTGTAGTAAACATACAATGATATAAAGCTCTTATTTTATTTATTTATTTATTTATTTATTTGAGACCAGGAGAGCGCACAATTTTTACATTAACCTTTTTTACAGGAGAGATGCATTGTATATCAGGTTGTAGCATCAGTGCTAATTTCCACCTGTAGTCCCTGGGCAGGTTAATTGATTGATGGTATTTAACTGACCTTGACTAGCAACTGTTCTTTGAGACCTGTAGCATGTTTTGGGTTGTGTCTTCTATTTCCATTTGACTCATCTGTTCTATGAGGGCACACAGAGAATGGAATGAAGCACCAAAAAAATCAGTATCAAATTTTGCAACTGGAAGTGATATATCGTCCCAGTGTCAGTCCGGCACGGTATGAGAACATGTTGACATATTGTTGTCCCTGTGTGTCCAGGCCTCAGGTGCTGGTGCTACTAAACCTGGACTCAGACCAGAGCGTTAAACACCCGCGCCTCCTGTCCTTCACCACACAGCTCAAGGCAGGCAAAGGACTCACCATCGTCGCCAACGTTCTGGAGGGCACCTACCTCACCAAGGATGCAGAAGCCAAGAGAGCTGAGCAGGTACAACTCCAGTACACACACACACGCCCTCTTCTGCTCTCTGGGAAGCCTGCACTCATCAGGCAGACTACTGTTGTCACAATACCTCCATACCGATTCTGATATTACTATGAGATTAAAAAATACTGTTTGATTTTCCACATTAAATGATAGTACTTTCTTTTCTATTCTCATGTGTCATTATATGTGTGTAATCCCTCAGTGGTCCAGGTATGTTCCATGGGCGTATACTAGTCTATGTGCTCTTATACTTGTTCTAATACAGCTCAAAATCATTCTAAAGACATTCAGGAAAGGTTCATTTCTGTCCTGTCAGTGAGACTTTTTTAGTATCGATACCTGCTCAAATTAGTATCTAGTTTCAATACTGTTTTCAGTATTGATTAGACTTGGACTTAGACAAACTGATATTGATCCACAAGGGAAATTACTTGGACACAGTAGCTCACACATCACAATATATTATAATAAAGAGTAAAAAATATATATGTAAATTCTAAATAAGTAGCAAAAAAATATGGCAAGAGATAGGTGTAAGGCTTAATTATATAAATGTATATAATCACGGCCATTGTGACCCAGGTCAGGAAATAGAGCTCTTTAAATGTTGTTTTCATGTTTTCATGCCTTTTTCCAGTTCAGAAGTTTGCTCCAAAGTACCAAAGTGTCCAAACCTGCTTTATTTATATAGCACATTTGATAAACAAAACTGTTTCCAAAACGCTGCCTAGAGACGAGGAACAATAAAAAAACAAGTGTGAATGCTCAGTTCGATCGTACTAGTTTTATATCAAGTCAAACCAAATAAAAGCAAAAACATCAAACCATGAATTAGCAATATATAAATACATTAAATTGAAGAACAGAGAATAAAAGACAGAGAATAAATGTGGATCTTAAAACGAGATTAAAATACTCCATTAAAACACTCCACTGCAGGGGGAGCTTCTACTTTCAATACAGAAATTACTTTTTTGAGCTTTCTACCATGTTATAACATTGTTCCCTCACCAAACAAATGCTTGAAAAGGTTTTAGATGTCATCTATGCATGTCTGAGTATTTTAGCACTCTCTCTAGGGCCCTGTTCAAACCCTCTTTACAGTTAGCTCTAAGAATCTGTGCAAGGCTCCTCCCACAAGCCTACATCACCCATGCTCCCACACGACAATTCTCTAGAAATACACAAAAACATGAAACAAAACTGTACAGCAACTTGACCAACCTGATGTGACGCATCATGTGCAGTCATGTCATTAGTGGGATGCATGCTGATTGTGTTGCGATAGCGCTCTGAAGGGGGAGTGACTTAATGCAGAGAGCAAAGGCAGAGCAAAGTCCCTCTTCAGCAATGTGAATTGGTTAACTCAAATTGGATTTAATTTTTTTCAAACTGCAGCTGGCAATCCCTCACTGTACACTACTGTTCCTAAGCACACTAGTGTTAAAAACAGGAGCTAGAATGTTTAGGTTGAATTGTAATAGAATACTGCCATCTACTGGTCAAGATTATATTGCCGTTGACGCTTCAATTGCTCTGCCTTATTTGCATTTGTCTTCAGATTTGTATTCAGAGAACCAATCACATAGTACACTTTTCTGATCTGTTCTAATGTACTTTCCTCATCACAAACAGACCTGGAGTTGTGTTTTGTTTACTGTTCATTTCATGTTTTACACAGATTTAGTCTCAAACAGAAAACACTCTGCTCCACCTTGTGATGTCATGTGGTATTACAGGAAGTGCTCCAGTATGTTCTTAATCTTCATACACCTTCACTAGAATCATTTGGATATTTTAAGACCTGGCATTGCCAATCTCTACTGAACAGAAGGTAAAAGGAGCTGTAAACTTTAAAACCACCACGACATGACATCACAAGTTGGAACAGAGCATTTTCAGCTTTGGAGATACAAACAGAGTAAAATGGTTCCTCAAACATGTGTTAATGGAACAAAACACAACTCCAAATCACTGTTAGACTTGCATTTTGAACATGAGCAGAGGCTCTGATTGCCCTCTACTGTTTTGTTTGTGTGCAGAATATCAAGTCCACCATGGCTGCAGAGCGCACCAAAGGCTTCTGTCATGTGGTGATCTCTTCAAACCTGCGAGACGGAGTGTCCCACCTGATCCAGGCAGCAGGTCTGGGGGGCATGAAGCACAACACTGTCCTCATGGCCTGGCCCGGAACCTGGAAGCAGGCCAACGACCCCCAGTCCTGGAAGAATTTCATAGGTACAGCATTGGGGAACCAGAGACCAGTGCAGCTAGGATCTATGTTGTTGTTTTTTCTTTGTTTGTTTGCTTTTTACAGATGCCGATATTTGATATTTGCCATATTTAGCTTTTAAAATCCGTAGTAAGGCCCACTAATGTTTTGTAATATTTAAATATTAAAGTAAAGATCATAAATTAACTTTTCACTTGTAAAAAATAATTATAAGACATATTTAATTGGGACATCAAATTATTGTTCAAGAAGACAGATCTGATGCACTGAGGACAAACAGGGAATGACACACCAGATTCATATGTGTGTCACTCTGAATTGAGTTCTACACATTATTAATCTGGAATGTCTCACACTGAAAGAGTTCAGGAAACAGACAAATATTAGAATCTGATCAAAGTGTCAAAATCAAACTTTTGTTACATTTAGCTGAGAGAAAAGCATCTTCCCTGTCCACAAATACACAAAGCACTTCCCTCTGCACATTTTTCACAAACTAAATAGTCAGTATTTTTTATAAAATAGACTACTGTATGTTTGTCGGTTTCATGTCATGTTTTGTTTTGGCTCATTTGGGCACACAAACCTGAGTGCTGCGACGTGATTGGTCCACCTGTTACTGGGTGACAGCGGGAACACGTCAAAATGAATTCTCATCAGTTTGTGAACTCACAGAAGCTTGCTGTTAAAGACATAGAGACTGGGTATCAGTATCAAATATCAATTTTGGCTGAATAACAACAAATAAAAGATCAATATTAGCCAATACTGGAACTTATATATCACCCACCTCTACTTGTCATGTAACTAGAACAAAAGGATTGCATAAAGTTCTCAAAAAATACCAACTTCAACAGAATATTATAGTGTATTTATTCAGTACATCAAAGGTATAAAATATGTGTGTGTTTGCAGAGACTATTCGTGAGACCACAGCGACACATCACGCTCTGCTGGTGGCCAAGAACGTGGACAGTTTCCCCACAAACCAGGAGCGTCTGGGGGAGGGCACCATCGACGTGTGGTGGGTGGTGCATGATGGAGGCATGCTCATGCTGCTGCCCTTCCTGCTGCGCCAGCACAAGGTCTGCCTCTCACTGCTGTGTGCTAGAATCCTTCTGTAGGATACTTTGACACAAACTCATGTTTCCTGTTTGACCTTTTCCCTGGAGTAGGTTTGGAGGAAGTGTAAGATGCGCATCTTCACAGTGGCCCAGCTGGATGACAACAGCATCCAGATGAAGAAGGACCTGCAGATGTTCCTGTATCACCTGAGGCTGGACGCAGAGGTGGAGGTGGTGGAGATGGTATGTGCTAAGTACTAACACTATTTGAAACTTAAGAATGAAAAGTTAAGAGCTGCAGGACAGCATGACTTAGGTTAGCAGTGTCTCATCATAAGAAGCAACACTAAGAGACTGTGTGGAGCATTTCTCCCATGGGTGGTGGCTGTCACAGAGATTACACAGTTTCTAATTCTCCTGCTGAGTACCAAATTCTTGGTAGAATTTGGTACTCAGCAGAAGACTGAGAAGGCTTCTAACTCACAACACAAGTTCTAATGTTGATTCTGTGTTACTAAAATGTTGTCTCTTCCTCCACAGCACGATAATGACATTTCAGCCTTCACCTACGAGAAGACCCTGATGATGGAGCAGCGCTCACAGATGCTCAAACAAATGCAACTCTCCCGGACTGAGAGAGAGCGAGAGGTACACACACACAGATACTGAGAGAGCGAGAGGTACACACACACAGATACTGAGAGAGCGAGAGGTACACGCACACACACATACATACATACATACATACTGTACATACACACATCCATACACTTCCATACATACTGACAGAGGTAAGAAAGAGAGTGGGAGGTACACACACAGAAGCTTCAGGAGGTGGTTTGTAAATGACTGAGTTGAATGGGTTTGACATAGAACTTGTAATAAACAAACTAACTGTTGGTCCACATCAAGAGGGATGAAATAGCTCCTCTTGTCTAAATGAGGGCTTCCCTTCTCTGCTGCCTGAGGGCAGTTCTTTCTTAGATGATTTGGTTTAGTCTTGGTTTATACTGGTTTGGATCTTGTTTAGTCCACATTCAGGCCTAGTTCTGTAAAGTTTATAGATTTAGACATAGTTCAGTACCAGCACTTCTGTTCAATGCTGTGTGTTCAAGCCCTTGTTATAGACACATTGTAGATGTTGCATATTTCTGTTTAAACCTTAGTGTAGCTGTAGACTAGCTCTTGTTCATATTGACGGTGATAGATAGAAGAAAGTATGTTGTGCATAAGCAGCTTTGTGAGTGAGCTAAACCGGCCTCTCCTTGTTGACCTGCAAACGCCTCGGACGTCAGATTCAAAGTATCACAGATGAGTCTCGTAGCTCCATCCGGAGGAAGCACCAGCAGGCAGCAGGGAGCTCCAGCCAGAGCCAGAGCCGGCACTCCTCCACTGCAGACGACAACCAGGAGGACGAGGTAGAGCGGAACATCTCCCTCAGTCACTCAGATCTCTCAATGACCCATGCACATGTCCACTGTCAGAGGAAGCACATCTACAGCCCGTGTCTACTGCACTGTTTTGGTCGTCTGCCCTAAGATTTCTCATTGTGGGGAAAATCTTTATGTAAATTGCAACAAAGACCCACAACTCAAAGAGTCTGATATTTTAGAATCTTTGTTGAGGCGGGAACCCTCCTCTCTCTGTGTCTATGAACATAATCTTTGTCAAACATGTGACCAATTGTAAACACAAATGCTTAATGCTCCGTTAGAATAAGAGCAGAAGAGCTCTGCTGTGAACAGGACTTTTACAAAACACACAAACAAGACTAGCATGTAGCTCTGGCCTTAGTGAACCGGTACAACTTTGGTGACTTTACCACATGGAGCCTAGAATCTGATCACTACGACAAACTTTAATCACAGCCATGATTGATGGTGTGCACCATCACACAGTGTGCATGAAAACATTGTGCAGTGGACACCGGGCTTAAGAGAATACCACTCCTTCAGTATGTTTGTGTAATCCCTCAGTCATCCAGGTAGGATCCTTAGCAAAGGAGAAATTCAGTTCTTTCACAGCTCGTCCAAGTTACTTCTTCAGTTCTGGTCAGACACTGGTGGACTCTGGCTGCAGGGAGGGGAAGGGTGTCATATTAGCAGAATCATTCAGGCCTTTGATGTTTGCTCTCACACCTCTGAACATACAGGCCTCCATTTCTGTTCAAAGATACTCCTCACTCCTCACTGGAGATCTCCATCTCAAAGCCACAGAACACTATTTACAACTCCATCCTCATCCTGAAAGACCTGAATCAAAACAAAGGAGATAGGAGTGATAGACTGGTCAGGGTCTGAGGCACGGAGGCACCCATCAGGGGCCTGAACGATTCTGCTAATATGACTCAGGTACAGTTCACACTTAGTGCAGTTCAGTAGATCGAGCTAAGAAACGGAAACTTGGTGTGTTTCATTTCAGAGTAGTTTCAGTGTATTTAGCTCCTTCCTTCAGGCAGAGATAAAGCAGTGTCCACCAGCTTCTGACCAGAACTGAAGCAGCAGTTTGGATGAGCTGGGAAACCTCTTCAATCAAAAACTTTTTGTCCAGTTGACAGAATTAAATTTCTCCTTTGCCACTCCTTCAGTATATTCATTTCATTGTGAACAGCAAGTGTATGACTTGTCTTAGAGCATCCAGTGCTTTCACCTGTTTCATCAGTCAGTGCAGTTAGCAGCTTCTGTGTGAGTGAACAATACAGAGTTTTATTAGGAGTGTGCTTTGCCTCCAGTCTGGTGATACAATATGGTCCACAGTATACTGCATATAATATGTCACTCTGCTATCAGAGTGTCAATACAGTATCTTAACTCAAAATATTGCAATATTTATCACATCTCTATAGTTTTAAAGAAAAAACTCTTCTGGCAGTAGCTGCAGTAGCTGTACAACATGTGTTACCACAGATCATCACAGCCTCATCACTCCCTCTGAAGGACAGGTTTATGTGTCATTGAGAGGAGTTGTGTGAACGAGCCAGCCCCACCCCTGCTCCTCTCCTCAGACCTCCTCCTCCTCACGCAGTCCTCCATGTCAAACTCTAGCTCCACACTTCTACCTGTGCATGTGTTTGCTCAGCTGCACAACTCTTGAAGAGTGTCCACTTGGTGTAGACCAGACCAACCCCACATTTATGTATTTGTGTTTTTATCTGCACATGCTTTTGTATTAAAAATGATGCACTATTTCAATGAATCATGTCTACACACGGTGTCCCGCCTCCTCCTGTGCACCGCTGCTGCTTCAGGGAGGCACATGCATGTTGTATGAGACCTGTGCATGGCCTGTGCTCTCATCTGTGCTACAATACAACCTGTATCTGTATTCAGTGGATGTGCTATTGAAGGACACGTCATGGATGTAACCTGTTTCTATGTTGGTTTATCATCTGAACAGTTGAAGCCCTTTCCAATTGTTCCATGTTATATTTTATTTATCTTGAGCATTTTTGTCTTTATGACAGAATCGTGATTTAAGTTGGTCTTTTCTTTAAAAAGGGGGAAAAAACTAGTACTCAAGTTGACAGAAAAACTTTCAAGTACATTTCAGCACTGGCTATATGGAGCAGTTATGTAGAGATTAAAGTGTATGCTTATAGAATATAAGGATTTCCTGTATTTAACTTTCAGATATGCCGTTGGAGCACATTGATCTACATATTCCTTTAAAATACCTGTGTAAGTCTGTGAGCCTTACCCGTTCTCCATTTGCTATAGGCCCAGCTGATCCACGACAGAAACACAGCGTCACACACTGTGATTAACGACAAGGCAGACGCTGCTCCGGAGCGCGTGCACATGACCTGGACCAAAGACAAGCTGTTCACCGAGAGGAGACACCGCGAGTGCAACGCCAATGTGGCCGTGAGGGACCTGTTCAACATGAAACCGTACGCACCCACACACATATACTACACTATACTGTACTATATACTATATACTGTATACTCACAGTATACTCATACTATACTCACACTGTTCATGAGACTAGCATTCAGTCAGTATTAGTACAGCACAGTTTGAGTCCATTCTGGCTATAGTAACTTTTTGTGCTACATTGAGCTACTCATGTCTCATGAGAAGGTCAAAAGGTCAGCTTTCATTGAATTGTAGATAGTAATTAACATCAATCAAAATAAATCAAATACATTTAGAATGGTGAAAAGTCCTTAAAATGGCACCCATATCATGAAAAATAGATGTTGAAGTGTCATTTAGACAGTTTTAGCCACAGTTAAACACACGTACTGTCGCTACCTGGTAAGCTTAGATCCTTTGAAATGTATTAGTTATTGTTTGTACTTCAGTCCATTTCTTAGTAAATAAATGCTGAATCCAGTGACAGTCTTGGCACTCAGACTAAACCTGTGAGCTGTACATGAGACAGGTGCATGGCGTGTGCACTCTGGCTGTGTTAGTTAGTGCACGTGTGGATGGCCCCTCTTGGCTTCGTGCATGTAGAGCAGAGTCCCTGTGTCAGACTAACTCATCACCTGTCTGCACCTGTCTGCACCTGCCCTGTCCACCACACTCCCAACCACTGACACACTCGATACATATTATACATATTATGAGCTTTTGTCAGTCAGGTGCTAAGAAGTAGAGTCTGATATTTATGCACCTTTTTTTAAACGTATTCACTGATGACCCAAGATTTGTCCTGACACCGGCTGTACTGAGTTATGAAGTCAAGCGCAGATTTGAAATGTGTTTGGTTGATATTTGTATGTCATTATTTAACATTACAAAAATTACAAAATGAAGTGTTAACGTTGAAGTGAAAAACTACCGTCTTAATCCACACAGTTCTAATACAATGTACTAATACGTATTGTCCTATGAAACTCAATGAACCGATTCATTAAAAGCTTAAAGCTGCACTATGTCACTTTTCCAATCCTGAACCTGCTTGTGTCCATAGAGATATTATTGCTCTGCCTGTAGTGTTCCACAGCATAACCACCTGTTGAGCTGGCATTTCGTTACAGGTGTTTTAATCTCAAGTACATTGAAAAACTCCAAGGAAATGGATAATGTCATACTGTGGAACATTCCAGGCAAAGCAATAACATCTCCATGCACATGATCAGGTGATGGACTCTTCACAAGAAAAGTTACATTGTGAAACTTTAAAGGGCCCATATTGCTCTATTTTCTGATCTCCGTGTTGTTTCCTCATCACAAACAGGCCTGTTGTTGTGTTTTGTTTCATTCACACGTTTAACACACAAATGGAAAACACTCCACTCCACCTTGTCATGTCATGTGTTAATACAGGAAGTGCTCCACTGTGTTTTTAAACTTTCACCTTCACCTTCACTAGAATCATTTGGTAATGTCAGCCTTGGAATTGCCAAACTCTACTGAACAAACGGTCAAAGGAGCTGTTCACTTAAAAACTACCACAACATCACAAGGTGGCAGCATTTTGAACTTTGGAGACGTAGACAGACTAATAAATAAAGTGTTACTCAGATGTGTGAATGGAATAAAAAACACGCCAGGTCTGTTTTTGAGGAGGTAACAGCATTAGAACATGACTTAAAACTCATGAGAATCAGTTTTGTGTGATATAGGAGCTCTAAAATATGGGACAAAAACAATTATCCTATATTATAGGAAAAGAAGAACTACTCGTTTTTATCTACTACATCTATGCTAACATATGTGACTGTGTGGGGAGGGGGGTACTGTATGGGAGTGCAGGGTACTGTTGTGGGGCAGTGGGTGCGTAGGGCAGTGGGCATGAGGGCTGGAGCTGGTTGTAGCACTAAGGCTGTTTGTTCTGTCCTGTTTCTTGTTGCAGAGAGTGGGAGAGCCTGTAAGTCATCCTCTTTACTCCATTGTCTCCTCATGTTCTCCTCATGTCTATGTGTGTGCAGCTCAACAGTGCATGACCTATGACCCCCGCAAGGTCAACCACCGCACAGCACAGCACTATACATCATTGTAATAGCAGGAATAGCTTGGTAAATGCCGTGATCATTTTAAAACCATGTATATTTGTGACAGTGAGGGATACATGCATGTATCCTTCGTACTGTCTCGAATGGGCTCAATGCCAATTTGTCCGTGATTTTAATACTATAGTTACCCTATAGTAGATTTGAAGATAACTTGAATAACTATATGAAATGTTGTGTACGGTGGGGAGTCTGTCACTGTTGAGCTCTTGTGCGTCTCACTGTATGCTCCACGCTGCACATGTCTACGCTCTGCTGCTTTTAACTTGTGTCTGTCACTCATCATCACACCAGACACTGAAAACATGAGCAAAGTTCTGCTTTCATCAGGTGTACCATCATAACCAGGCTCACAGCACACTCATCTGTGTGTCACTCTGTGCTGAGTTCTACACATGATCAATCTGGAACAGCTCTGTGAAAGACATCAGGAAACACAGAACATCATGATGAATATTTGAATCTGATTGGTCGCAATGTCACAACAGCAAAACAAGCAGAGAAATCCAACTTTAGTTCCTGATCCACAAATGCACAGAGTGCTTACCTTCTGAACATGTGACAGTGTGATAAGTTTGTGAACTCACAAACATGGAGAGAGTCCATCCTGCTGTGCAGGATTAATGCCTCACACGAGGGCCGGGCAAGAAATCCAGACTTACAAATGTAACTATGGTTCTATGAGTCCTGGATGACCACCAGAGGGCGCTGCTCAAAGTACTGAATGCTCCCTTCACATTAGAGCCCTGCACTCCTGCAGGCCGTGAACCCGACACGAAACAGTGTAGGGCAGGACACATTTTGAAAGCTCATTGCGGGTGCAGTCGTTGGGTCATTGCAGTCCCACAAACAAAATCTGAGTGTAAAATAAAATATACAAATGATTCAAGTTTGTCTATCACACATCATTTGTGCTGGAGATTTTATGTGGCATTAATAAATTCATTTAAGCAGCCTAAACTTGCAGATGTGGTCTAATCTCACATGCATTTTAGACAATTCCTTTCGGCTTCTCCATGTTTGATAGATCTTAAGAGAGAGCAAAACATTCTCATCTCACGAGATTTGTGGGTGGGACCAGGACAAAATATCACAGATGTGACAGACTGAAAATTCTGTCAAACACAGACCTCTACTTCACACATCCCTCAGTGCATTATTCAGTGCTTTCAGCACTGCCCTCTGGTGGTCAGGGATGGAATAGAAACAACTTTAAAGTTTCAAATCAGAGCAGCACACCGTAACTCTATATACAAAACGTGTTATAGGAATGGGACTTCACTTTCCTATTGACTTGAAGAAAGCAGAGTTTTGTGTGGCTTTATGTTGCACTCATGTGTCTTTACCTTTTGTACTAACTGAGCACAAGAGACAACATTTCCACATAGCCATTTCTTACACAGAGTTAGTAATAATCAAAACATGCCTTCATTATTGTTTGCTATTAACAGTCTGAGAAGGCTGTAGTACATTTTAGTACTGTGAGGGGAAAACATGTAAAATGATGTCTCTTTGTCAATTTGCTGTTCAACTCAAAATGACCAAATAGAACAAACATATACTGAGCCTTATTCATTCTTCTGTGAGTCAGTTTGTGGAGATGTTGACCTCCAAGACGGTTCTGTTTGGTGAAAGTTTTGCTCTGGTCCAAAATCTTTGGTGTGCAACTGAAATAATCCCATGTAATGTTTGTAACATAGTGAATAAATCTCAGTGCACAGTTCTGTGATGTTGTGCTCTGTGGTGGTGCTCTCTGTCTCTCTCTCTCTGTCTCTGTCCTGTACCTCTGCTCTTGTGTCCTGACTCTGCGTCTCCATAGAAACCAGTCTAACGTGCGGCGCATGCACACGGCCGTCAAACTGAACGAGGTGGTGGTCAACAAGTCCCAAGGAGCTCACCTGGTGCTGCTCAACATGCCGGGCCCACCCAAGAACCGCGGAGGAGACGAGAACTGTATCCTTGAATCACATTCCAGCACATGTTCATGTGGATCAGGCTCTTCTGTGCTCCCTGTTTCAGTGACCATCAGGGGGCAGCAAAGAGCCACACACTAGGAATAAGAACTGATAACACATAAAATGTAAAATCTGCAAAATAGTCTGCATAGGTTTTCACTGACACTTTCCACTTACATATACATTCCATATCCATTATACCAGTACATGTGTTCCAAATCTCAGTCAGTGGTTTTATACAATAGCCACGTTTTCATGTTTTTTAGTTCCAGATTAATTATTCTGATTTAAATAGTTTGGAATTAAAATATTCTCCTTGGGAGTTTAATTCCAAATTGAGGTTTACATGGAAAACACGTTAAATCGCCTTTATTTAATTCTGCTCAACGTCTGGAGGTGGGGAAAGGTTTTCTGTCGTCTCAGTTTGTTGTTACTCTACGGACACAAACACAAAACAAACTTTTCCCGCAGTGGTTCCGTTGATAATTGTGCAGCAGTTGGAGAATTGTCTCATCACACTTTACGGCTGTCAGCTGAGGAGGAGAAGGGAAGAGTGTCAGAGAAGGAGGAAGAAGACAAAGTGAGTGAGGCTGCTCTACCTCAGTCCACTCCCACATCCCGCTCACAAATCCAAAGAGACGTGGATCAAAGTCCAAAGCCAGGACTTGGTGGAGAAGAATAAGAAGAATAAACGTTTACATGATCTAGGAATAAATTAATTTGGCTTTAAAATGGGAATAAACCTCCCACTTACTTCAGAATTAAGTTTAATTCATTCAGTCATTTTCATTAGGAATTAAGTATTTACATGGACTTTTTAAAGCGGAATTCATTTTTATTCAGAATTCAATACATTTTATTCGGAAATTAATACTCTCATGTAAACATGGCAAATGAGAAATAGTTTAAATAGATAAATAGATATGTGAGAAGGTTGAGCTGTTGTCCAGTGTGATTGTTCTTGACTCACCTGCTCAGACATGGAGTTCCTGGAGGTTCTTCTGGAAGGTCTGAACCGCGTGCTGCTGGTGCGAGGAGGAGGCCGCGAGGTCATCACCATCTACTCCTAAAGCGCACCCCCCACCCGCCTGCTCGCACGGGCCGTTCACGTGGAAACCGCTCCACCTGCGGACGGGGGCTGGGGGCGGGGTTTGTCTGGAGGCGGGACCACTCTTTTGATTGACACACGGACCTCTTTCAGGGCATTGGGTGCGTCCTGGCCGGGCCTCTGCTCCCCGCACGCCGCTGTAGAGCCTAGAGACACTTTATACTTTTCATTCATGGTTCATTCAATGTTCAATGTTTTCTCCTTGTGTGTTCTTGTTCTAACTGTTGGAGGAAGGCCAGAGGAAGACTGTGAGCTGGACTGTTGGAGACACTAAACTCTGAAGACTATTACAACTCACGAGAACTTAGATGTCTGCATTTTTGGAAGCTGTAATTTCAATTTATGTACATTTAATATAGTTGCAATTTAGCCCAGAGCACAATGTAGAGAGAGTTGTTAAGCGATGATGCCACTCCAGGGTCCAAGCTGAAAGCTTTGTTTTTGTTTCTTCTTCATCAAGCAAGAGACACTTACCTTTCAGAAGTGTACATTTAAACACAGACTGTACGTAGTATGTTAATAATGTAGTAGAACTCCGTCATAACGTAGGATTACAAGTGCATAAATGTCGCCTCTTACCTCAGCTTTTCACACTTGCACTTTCTGTCACAGTTAAAACACAAATCCTGTCCGCTTTAAACGACAAATCTCTTTTTAATGTAAGAAAAATAGTTTTGAATCAGCTGATGGACCCAGAAGCGACGTCACATTAACAACGCGATAGTTTTATTCAATTTGAAAACCTATAGAAGCACAACGATGGTACTATATTTGAACTACCATTTCAGACTTCATAAACTGTCATTTATCATACGGAGAAATAGCCATATCGTAGCATCGCTTTTCGGAGCTTTTAAAACGCGCCTCGAGTCGCTCACGCTCTTAGACTTTTTAAATGAATAGCGTTTCACCATCAAAGATGGTGTGTGGATATTCGAAAACACATTTAGCATAATTTATTTTACTATTACCACCAGAAAATTGTAAAAAAAACAAAAAAAAAAATGTGCACTGAATCTTTGTTTTGAAAATTTGTTTTGGAGTTTGGAATCACGTCGAAGAAAACACAATTGTATAGCATCAATTCCACTTGATTTTAATAAGTTCTATTTTATCACTTTAATCGTAGGCTTTTATTTTGTAGGAAAAAGTGCCAAAAGGAAACTGTGGGCGTAGAGTTACCGAGCAGCTTAAAGCAAAACTCACCGATGACAGTCAGCGTGTAATTAAACGTGTAAGTTATTAGAGGATCCCAGTGCACTTTGTGTGGGGCCCGGGGGGACGAGGGACGAGGGACAGGGACGAGGGGAGGTCAGGTGTAGCTCCACAGTTTCTCACAGTAGTGTCGTCTGAAGCTGTGTCACTGATGCAACGTGTCGTGTTCATTTCCTCTTCATTGGTTTATTTTTGTTGATTTTTTTGTGACTGTATTTCTCCCAGTTCTGTTTCAACAAGCACATTTACAGCAAACTCTGGTAAGAAGGTTTTCAAACTGAAAGCTGGACACAAGATTTCACTATTAGTAACACCAACACAGCTTGATAGATTCACTCAAATAGTTAAAGCCCCACTATGTAACTTTTTAGCCAAGGAATGTACTAAAAGCTTTTTCATTTTTCGTTGTCTTTCACTAAAAACGCTGAAAAACAGGTGTGTTTCTGTAGACAGGCTTGCGTCTCCTCAAACCTGACTTGTATTTGGAGTAAAGTCAGACAGTATGGCACGTCTGTCTCCACGGAGAACGTTCTAAAGTGTGTTTGGAGTCACACGGGTAATGTTTCACCTTCAAAAAGTTTCATACTGTGGCTTTAACCAAACCTGATTCCTGTAAGTACTGTATTTTCCGGGCTGTTAGACGCGCTCTTAAACCTCTAACCCCATCATAAAATGACTGCACCCCACAATCCAGAGCGCCCTATACACAAATCCACTCAGGTGTCCCAGCACGACTTCAGTAAACTACAAAGCCACACCACCCACAGAACACACAAACACACACGGAGCAGACAGCGACCGCACAGCGAAACACACCCACAGACACACTCATCACTCCACGCCGACGAGGAACGGAACGGAGGAACGAACTGAAAAAACTTCTAGACACAACTGAACAACTGAGTCACTGCGAACACGCCGACAATCCGTTGGTCCCAGACACACCCTCCCTACACGCCACAACTGAACAAAGCCCAGAGTCACCGTGAACACCACAAACAAACAAAACCACTCACCCATCACACTGTTGGGTTTCCTTTAAAGTCCGGTGCAGTTTATTCATGAAAAAAGTTAGAAAATAGACCATTTAATGACAGTGCGCCTTATAATCCAGAGCGACTAATAGCCTGAAAAATATGGTAGCTTCATTAGATCCAGATCAGTATGAATCATTGAAGCTCTCTGAATGATGTGAATGTTGTGACCTGAGGAGGGAGAGAGGCTTCTATTCAGATCTTCTTTATGATTTATGAATGACTCTAAAATCCAAACTTATCCAAAAGAAATACCGTTACAAGATGATTGCCTGTGGAAATGTGGAGTTTGTTGACCGTGCTTGAGTGAAACTGAACCCGGTCCTTGTTGTATCTTTTCAGTATCTTTTCAGTTGAAGTAAAAGTGTCTGATGAGGCAGAGCCGCTGTCACTTTGTCCATCTGCGACTCATGTCTTTTCTATTGCAGTCTCAGGAGGACACACTTTCCCCATCTCACATTCTCTTCTAATACTGTGATTGAAAACGACGTGCGTGGGTCTGTGTGAGGAGGCAGTGTGAACAGATTTTGCTCACAGGTTCCTTACACTGCATATTTGTGAGCTGACAAACCCACGAGGAGACATTTGAACCTCATTTCTCCTGATCAGTACGCACTCGAGCCATCCCAGACAAACCAGACTGCCTAAAGTATATTAAAGCTGCACTGAGCTGAAGGTCCACCTCCTGCTTGACTCCATGGAGATGCACACTACCGCTCAAAAGTTTTAGAACACCACACTTTTTCTAGTTTTTACTGTTTCCTGTTGACCAAAACTTATTCTCGACTTTTGATTGTCAGATAGAACAGCTGAACACACTCGTGGCTCGTTCTTTTTACAACAGAAATCAAATATTGTTGAGAAAGTTCTTCAAGTCTGTCGCAGAAGTTTCCATAAATGTGTGGCACTTGTAGGTTGCTTCACTCTTCTGTCCAGTTCATCCCAAACCAGCTCCATGGGGTTTAAGTCTGGACACTCCAGGTTTTCAAGTTTTACCATCTTGTTCTTTTTTCCTGAGGTCGTTTTGGCAGAACTTGGACTTGTGTTTTCTTCTTTTATCTTTTTTTTTAACCTCTGTCTGTTCAGTTCTTTCCTTTGTACCATTTCAAGCTCTTTACTGGACTTGAATTGCAATAAATAACTAGAAAAATGAGGGTGTTCTAAAACTTTTGAGCGGTAGTGTAACTGCTTTGCCTTTAATGTTACACAGTTTGGAAATAAACTTGAGCACATTGTCATAATTCATGTTTTTCAAGGTATTTTTGAGCTGTAATTAAACCCATGCGACGCGGACGGGTTTAGTGCCATACTGTGGAACATTCCAGGCAAAGAAATAACATCTCCATGGAGATGAGCGAGCAGCCAGCCCTGCACCTTCATAGTGACACAGCGCACTTTTAATAATAATAATGATAATAATGTTAATGTGTAGGATTTCTACAGCCAGTGCATTCTTCATTCACTCCTGTTGTAGCCACAGCTGCCCTGGGACACATAGACAGAATCTGTCTGCCAATCTGCACCATCACCTCGAAAATCACGCTCACACTACTTGCATTCTAGGGTAAAGTGTCTTGCCCAAGGACACAACAACAGAAGTTTAAGATCAGGTGACTGGTGCTGGTCAAATACTCAGCAGTTGTGTTTTGTTTGTTTTTTTGTCACAGTTCCAGTAGTTTCCGTGGGCAGGAAAATGAGCACAGAAAAAAAAAAGACCCATAAACCAGGCCCAAACAAAACACAAAAATTCTACCTCACCAATCGGACTCATTCTGAATTTGGTTCCACTTTAAATCGTCGACGTTCATGACCCGAGCTCAGCGTCTCCCTCTGAGCGCTCAGGAGCTCTGCACGTTTTGACACTTTTTACATGTGTACATTTGTTTTGATTCGACTGGAGAAAGAAATCTACCTCACATGTGTCACTGAGGCTCAACCAATCACAATGTTCCATTTTTATTCCATTAGGGAGCGGAGGAGGAGGAGGCGGGGCTAGTGCTGTGTGGGCGGAGTCGAGGGGTGATGATGGTGGATATGTGTGAGTGAATGTACTGTTACTCTAATATTGTTCTTCAAATATGAGCAAGTGAGGTTAAAAAAAAGGAATTGTTGTTATAAAATATTGATTAATTGTTCAAAAATTACAAAAAAAGTGTAATTGAAAAATAATCAATAAAATTATATAACCTTAAATATTTTTCATATAAATATATACGTGTAAATTGGTGTGATTTTGAATTCACATGAACAAACTTTTATATTCTATTGCACGTTATTCTACAAAATTTACATTTAAAAAATATATATATATAATTCCAATAAAAAGCTTCACTGATTTGCTTTGTATCACTGTCTAATAACTACACTTTAATTACTCTTAATAAAGTGTGAATAGAGACTTGATTCACAGTGAACAAACGGTGTGTTAAGAACGATTCAAGCTTGTCTTAGCAACTACTTAAAGCTGCACTATGTAACTTTCTGCTAGTCTTCATGGTTATCATTTTGCCTAGAATATTCTACAACATGTCTTTTTGTTTTTTGGGATTTTTTTGCTTTCTACCACATTCCCTCATCAAAAACCTACCTACCTGAAGACGTTTTACATGTCATCCATGTTTGAGTCATCTGGCGATCTCAATCCGTGTGTCATTTGTTCATTTGTTTTTCAATATAAAACCTAAAATAAGAAAATTAAAAAACAACTATTTTCTTCATTATTTGTCCCCAAAACCAAAATGAAAAAACGGATAATGATTAATTTTTTCAGTTTTCGATTTTGTGTTTAAATGAAAAAAAAAACAGATAACGGCCGTTTCCGGTTTGCGTGACTTCCGTGACTGCGATGCCGGACTTTTGCACTGCATACGGACTAATCCAGGCCTGGGACCAGACTGGAACCAGACCGGGATTGAGACCGGGACCGGGACCAGACTAAGACTGAGACTGAAAAAAGTCACGTAAACCGGAAACGGCCGTTATCCATTTTTTCCATTTTTCATTTAAACACAAAATTGAAAACTGAAAAAACGAATCATTATTTGTTTTTTTCATTTTGGTTTTGGAGACAAATAATGAAAAAAAAAAATTGTTTTTACATTTTCTTATTTTTGGTTTTATATTGAAAAATTTATGAACGAATGACACACGAATTCTGTACAAGGCTCCGCCCACAAGCCTACATCACCCATGCTCCCACACCACAATTCTCCATAAAAATACAAAAACATGATACAAAACTGTACACAACAACTTGACAAACCTGATGTGATGTGCTGGAGTTTCAATAGCGGGATACACTAATTGTGTGTGATAGCACTCTGAAGGGGGAGTGACTTAGAGTGGAGAGTTGTTTTGGGTGAATAGAGCATTTTCAAAACAATAAAAGACAACAACGTGAACTAAATATGTGATGTTTAACAGTTTATACTCGTCTTTAAACTTGTGGAACTTGCATGTTTGTTTGTTTTTCTTAAGCAATAAAAATGACTGTTGAATATTCAATCACACACCTCCAACAGAAAAGTGACACAGTGAAACTTTAATGAATTCCCCAACCCTATAATACATTAAAGTTGTTCCTAAGCCTGAATCATTCTTAATACACTAATTATTCATTCTGAGTGAAGTCTTTGTTCATGCTTTATTAAGGCTCATTAAGACGTCGTTCTTTTCTTATGTTCCCTCTGTTTCTGTGGACAGTATTAGCAGATACGAAGTGAACACGACGGAATGAATGTATGAATGTTTGAGAGGTTGTGTTGAGTAGCAGAGCCCACGTCCCAACAGTCTGTGGGCACACAAATAGACGAAGAGAAAGAGGAAAGAAAACGGTGGAGGAGAAAGGAGGAGGAGAGAGGAGGTAGCCCTGTAAAGTGTACTGTGCCTCTCTGAGTAAGAATTAAAAATACTGAAATCCCACTGGTCTCTGTGTCTCTTTTTTTGATACTATGTTTTAGGGATGTAACAATAACCAAAATATCGTGATATTGTATCCTCAAAGTTCTCACAATATCGTGGACCCTCATAATATATCGAATCACAAGTCTCTTTGCTTAAAGGTTGTATGGAGGATTTTTTGTTTGTTTCAAATTGTCAATGATAGCATTATAGAGGTGCAGTAGCCTTGTAATTATGATGACCAAAAAAAAGAGAATAAAAATTCATCAACTCTGGACGTGGTGGGGCTAAACATTTGCCAATAGATAACGACACTGCCTCGTTATCTGTGAGCTGACAGGCTGTCAATCAAATCTCCCTACGTTTCTATAGTAACTGACTTGCCTGCGCGCCGCCGGTACGTGGTTTACGTACGCCTGTCACGCAGTCCACAGACGCAAGACGCACAGACGCTGTTTACTCCACCAACACAACAGTTCTTAGCGGCTTTTTTTACCTATATCTTCCTCGCAGTTCGCACAAAGTTTGTTGCAATGGCGACAAGAATCCAGGAGCAGTTCGCCGCAAAAGAAAGTCAGTTTTTGAGGTCGCTGAAAGAAGAAGACAAGGGGAAAAGCAGCGAAGCCAAACTAAGGTGATTCTTGAAGATTCATTCCAGCGATGGCGCGACTGAAGCAGACGCAGGGTCTAAAGACTGACGCACTGGTCCACAAATTACTCCTGGACAGGTAACTTCTGCTTATTATGAAAACGTACTTTATTTCCAAGAGCTAGTCAAACGTTTTTCAGGACACGAAAGCGATATCCTATGTCTGAAAACGTAATTTTCAAGGCAAAGAAAGAGTCCGCTTGCTGCTGCGTGTTGTAGCTAGTTCATTCACACTGAATCTCCGCGCAACCTTCTCTGCACCCCTTTCCTGCTCCTCTCCCCGCTGCCCGTTCCGCTCGTCCCCCTGCTCCTCACTTTTTCCGGGCACGGAATCTCCGCGCACCGCTCCCCTCTCCTCTCTCCTCTCTCCTCTCTCTCTCCTCTCTCCTCTCTCTCTCCTCTCTCCCTGCTCCGCTCTTCTCCCTGCTCCTCACTTCTCGTCCGCGAACGAAATGTCCGCACACCCGCTCCCCCCGCTCCTCACTTCTCCGTCTTGCCTAACCAACACTGTAGTTAGTTGTTTACAAGTCATGTGCAGCTCACCGGCTGTAAACAAACCTGTTTCTGGCGTAAGGAGGAGGCGGGAGGAGGCGTTTTTACGTAGGAGCTGTAGGGGAGGGGGGGTGGTTTCACGCATGTGCAACATTTGAAAAAGGACAAACAGTCGCTGGATTTCTCGTTCCTTGGAAAATCCTCTATACAACCTTTAAATGAAGAGTTATGGTGCAGCCATAGCTAAGAACAAAAGGCAGAGGGAACTACATAGACCATGATCCTTTGCTCCATTTCAGTGCAGACTAAAAGAAGAAATAACAGTTCTAACACTTTTAAGTAAGTCTTTATTTATATGG